TGATCTTGACTTACCACAGCCTCAACCTTCCAGGCTCAACTGATCCTCCTGCCTCAGCCTCCTGAGTAGCTGAGACGATAGGCACACGTCACCATGCCCAGCTAATTTTTGTAGTTTTGGTAGAGACAGGGTTTCACCACGTTAGCCAGGCTGGTCTCGAACTCCTGACCTCAAGCGACTGCCTGCCTCAGCCTCCCACAGTGCCGGGATTACAGGTGTGAGTCACTGTGCCCCGCCATATAAACTCAACTTTAAGACAAGACTTAAACTACCTTTCCAACCAAATAGCCAACCCTAAGTTTTTTCTAATATAGGAATGCTAGAGTGTTTGTGGCCAGTAAACATGAAAAAAGATGCTCAACTTCACAAGTGATGAGGCAACTACAAATTAAAACAACACTGAGATATCATGTTTCGCTCATCAGATTGGCACAAATTTTAAAAATGATTGGCCAGGCACGGTGGCTCACGCCTGTAATCCCAGCAATCTGGGAGGCCGAGGCAGGCAGATCTCTTGAGTCCAGGAGTTTGAGACCAGCCTGGGCAAATGGTGAAACCCTGCCTCTACTAAAAATACAAAAATTAGCTGGGCATGGTGGCGCACACCTGTATGGCACTACTTGGGAGGCAGCGGAAGCGAGAGGATCAATTGAGCTTGGAAGGTCAAGGCTGCAGAAAGCTGAGATCGCACCACTGCACTCCAATCTGGGCGACAGAGCAGAGACTCTGTCTCAGAGAAAGAAAGAAAAAAAAAAAACCCTAAATAAAATTAAAAAGTAAAAGTGATTATATCCACCGTTGGGGAGTGGGTGTCACCGTTGGTGACAGATAGGATACGATCAGCCTTGTGGGGAGGGCAACTTAGCAGGGTCTGTAACAATTTAAATGTGTATGCCCTCTGACCTTGCAATTTCAATTCTAGAATTTCATTCTACAGAGATGCTTTCAAGCTCTCAAGCATCCATAAAGGATGTTTTGTACAAGGATGTTTACTGTAGCATTGTTTATATTGCCCCCAAAAAGTGGAACAATAAATAAGGATGGTTGAAAGAATCATGGCTGAGTCTTAAAATACCACGCAGCTGTTGAAAAAGAGGAACTGAGGCCGGGTGTAGTAGCTCATGCCTGTAACCCCAGCACTTTGGGAGGCCGAGGCGGGAGGATCACGAGGTCAAGAGTTCAAGAACAGCTTTGCCAACATGGTGAAACCCTGTCTCTACCAAAAAAACAATACAAAAATTAGTCAGGCATGGTGGCACCTGTAATCCCAGCTACTCGAGAGGCTGAGGCAGGAGGATCCCTTGAAACCAGGAGGCAGAGGTCACAGAGAGCTGAGATTGTGCCACTGTACTCCAACCTGGGCAACAAGGTGAAACTCTGTCTCAAACAAACAAACAAACAAAAAAAAAAAAGAAAGAAAAAGATGAGCTAAATCGATATCTACTACTTAGAAAAGATGTCTATAATATATTAAGTTAAAAGAAAGTCACAGACGAGTTTATTTACTATGATACCGAATACAAAATGACTGTTGATAGCAGTTGCTTCTGGAAGTAGGAGGGGGAGAAGGATTGGAGGAAGATTGTAATGGAACTTTTACATTTTATACAGTGACAACAACCACTTTGACTATCACTTATGGATGGTTTACCATATGTCTGGCACTGTGACGAGGAGCAAGGATTGTCTCATTTGATCTGCACACTAGCCTACCAGGTAGGTGCTTTTATTAGCCCACTTCACAGATGAAAAAAATTACGGTGTCTCACGCCTGTAATCCTAGCACTTTGGGAGTCCGAGGAGGACGGATCATGAGGTCAGGAGATCGAGACCATCCTGGCTAACAAGGTGAAACCCCATCTCTACTAAAAATATAAAAAAGTAGCCGGGCTTGGTGACATGTGCCTATAGTCCCAGCTACTCGGGAGGCTGAGGCAGGAGAATCGCTTGAACCCAGGAGGCAGAGGTTGCAGTGAGCTGAGATCGCGCCACTGACTCCAGCCTGGGCGACAGAGCAAGACTCCGTCTAAAAAAAAAAAAAAGAAAGAAATTAAAGTCAAAGTCGGTATGTCATGAGCTCAGGCTGCTGGCTAGTAACTAGTAGAACCAGAGTTAGACCACTTCCCAATGTATATTTCTAGTGTTGCTTGAATTATTTCACAATAATTCTGTGGGTTTTTTTTGGTTTTTTTTTGTTTTTTTTAAGAAATGAGGTCTCACTATGTTGTTCAGGCTGGCTTCGAATTCCTGAGCTCAAGCAATCCTACCCCATTAGCCTCCCAAAGTGCTGGGATTACCGGCCTGAGGCACCACGCCCAGTCTGTGTGTTGGCTTTCTAGTTAAAACACAACAACCATAAAACAATAACAAGGAAAGTTAGAAAACTTTCATTGTGAAAACGATTTCAATATTTTGTCACTGAGTCTCAGGAAAAAACGCTGCAATCCCCTCCCTAAAATCATTTTATTTTAAGTAATAGATAATTGAAAAGACCATTCTTTGGTTGTTCATAAAAGTTCAGAAACACTTTTGAATGGACGCTCATGTTGCAACAAGACTGTCTCACCACTTCAACGAAAATGGTTTCAGTAAGAAAGAAGTGAAACTTACCATTTGTGTTCATTGCCTCACAATCCAATACAGCTTTTCTACCTGAAAGAGAGAAAAGGAACACGATTAAGCTCACTTTCCACATGACGCGCTGGCTTAGAGGTTCGAGCCTCAAAATAATAAGGGGAGCTTACATGTGACAGAAGAAAATACGCTCCAGAGAAGGAGCCTGTTCAAATGTCTCCACATTCTCCCAGATGAAGTCCAAGACGGGGTCAGAAGGCATAGTAGCACCACAGTAGTGAGTCACTCGGAGAACTTCCTCTTTTTCTTGGCCAAGTTAAGGAAATCAGAGGGTTTGGACGAGCTTTGCATAATATGACTGGTTCGTTCGACCAATCTGTTTTCCTCTATGAGTTCCCGTAAGAAGAGAGATATTTGGTGGACTGTCACCCGCCCCCCACACCCCCTGCCACCCGGTCCCACGCTGGCTGGGAAAGAGAAAAGGAGGTAAATCTGACTGGTACATTGTCTATGTAAATCCACCTGATTTCCTTGCTCTGGACTCAGTCTATGCCGAAAGGAGTTTAGTGGAAGTTCGGTTTAGTCTTTGGAAGCAAACTGACTGTCTTAAGCAGATAACACAAATATTGTATCAAAAATGCCTGCTTTTTTTTTTTTTTTTTTTGAGACTGGCCTCACTCCATCACCCAGATTGCAGTGGAGTGCTGTGATCATAGCTCATTGCAGCCTCAAGCTCCTGGGCTCAGGTGATCCTCCCACTTCAGCCTCCTGA